GTTCGACTCGAGAGGCCCGATACCATGCATGACGCGATGGAAGTGGCACGACGACGGGAAGATCACCTTGTCGCCACGCGAAGGGGACGGGCGGACGTGCGATTCCCGGACACGCGTCGCACGGGACCGAACCCAGCCAAGGCCGGCGCACGGCCGAACGTTAACACTCGGCCAGCGGGGTCGATAGTGAGGCGGCTGTCCCCCGAGGAGGTTAAACGTCGACGAGAGAGGGGCCTATGTTTTAAGTGCCAGGAGAAGTTTACACCGGGTCATCAGTGCAAGCAAGCTTTTGTGATCGAAGTTGCTAATCCCGATGAGGAAGGATCCGAGACCGAGGAGGAACCACCTCAGGATATCATAGTTGAAGGGCCTGACGAAGAAGCAGAAATCTCAATGCACGCAATGGCCGGGATACGAGGTCCCCGGACGATGCGATTGCCAGCTTGGGTCAGGGATCGAAAGGTGGTGGTACTAGTAGACAACGGGTCATCACACAACTTCATCAACGCCGAGTTGTCTCAAAAGCTGAATTTACCAACCACGAAAATTGAGCCATTTGAGGTACGAGTGGCCAATGGTGAAAGGTTGCAATGCACTAAATCCTTCCGGAAGGTGCCAATCAGGTTCAGCGGAGTTACGGTGAAAGCTGATCTCTATGCCTTACCTCTGGTTGGGCCGGATGTCGTCCTAGGAGTACAATGGCTCGAGGGATTAGGCAAGGTGACCACTGACTATCGAACGGGAATTATGGAGTTCAACTCCGGCGATCAGCAAGTCACACTCAGTTCAGGTAATGAAAAAGATACCAAAGAAGTAGGGCTCAAGAGCATTGAGAAGGTCTGGCGGGGAGGAGGGCAAATATTTGCCGTACTCGTGGAAAAGACTGAGACGCACAAGGGTCAAGAAGAGCAACAACGGGGAGATGTGCACGAGCTTCTCCAAGAATTCGAGGGAGTACTGGGCGAGCCTAAAGGGCTACCACCGCACTGGGAGTTCGATCATCGCATACCATTGGTCAATGAACAGCATGCCATACATGTCCACCCTTATAGGTACGCCCACTTTCAGAAAACCGAGATCGAATGGCAAGTTGTGGAGATGCTAGAGTCAGGACTAATCCAGCACTACAAAAGTCCGTTTTCTTCTCCTGTACTGTTAGCTAAAAAGAAAGACGGCACGTGGAGGTTCTGTACTGACTACCGAGCCCTAAACGCTGCAACCATCAAGGATCGGTTTCCTATTCCAAGTGTTGATGACATGCTTGATGAGTTAGCTGGGTCACGTTACTTCTCTAAGCTCGATCTGAGAGCTGGTTACCATCAGATTCGACTCCACAAAGCCGACATTCCAAAGACAGCTTTTCGTACACACCAGGGGCACTATGAGTATCTGGTTATGCCATTCGGATTATGCAACGCCCCATTCACTTTCCAGTTCGCCATGAATTCTATCTTCAAGGAATATCTGCGTAAATTCGTTT